CATAGATAATCACTGTTTTTGAAGCTGCATCTGTTTTTGTTTTGTTTGATTTTGTTTTATGTCTTTCATAGAAATACTTTTTTTCTAGATGTAATTACAATAAGGGGATAATAAAAGGGATCAGATATAAGAAAGCACAATGATACTGGTGTATCTTTGAATTTCAAAGCTATTTTATATTTAATATTTATCCAGCTGTAAAAATAGAACAGGACCTGCTGTGTGTGATTCTATTTTTATCCATTTCTCTCTTTCTATCTGCAGGAATCTGTTGGGGATCTGATGATAAGGAATATTCAGCTAAATCATTCAGGAAAATACCTATGCACAGTACAAACAACTCTAGAAAGTTTATCTGCTGTGGCTGATATCATTGTTAGAGGTACGCATAAATGGTGAAAAAATGATCACCTTGTTTATTCATAGTCAAAATGTTGATATCTAAATGGTAGATCTTTGAGGAACCACATCATGATAAGGAGGTGCGATAAAAATCATATAGCTTTTTTATTTTCTAAAATCCAAAACTCCAGGGTATAGGTGGTATAGATATGAATACTGAATTGAGTAGGTTTTATCTGTTTGTAATGAATGGGCAGGCTCAGCAAGCAGCGTCACTTCCTAAAACTCAGCCTTGCGTTCTGTTTATAATAAATCATTCTTGTCAGAGCAGGATCTAATCCACATACTCCTGTAGTTCTCCATATTAGTTACATTTACTTGAGTTAGATTTTGAGAGAGGAATTCAAGAGAATGATTCTCAGTTTTTGAGATTAGCTTCCTATCGGGATGATATGTAACCATCCTGTGATTGGCATTTTCTAATCTCTAAAGGAAGCATTTCTAAATTAATGTCTTATCGTGTAAGCCGAATTAATAGGACTTTATCTCTAATAATGTGCTACAAATACATTATGATCAATAAGTATTTTATTTTCTAAGCATAACAGGTAAAAATAAACCATCCTTGTCTCAAATCAATGAATTTAATTATCTCTAATATAGTCATCATAAAACACCTTTTTCAAGGTCCACCAGGTCCTCCGGAGGATGTGAAAGTCGAACACGTTTCCAGTACTACTTCTCAGCTAAGCTGGAGACCAGGCCCAGATAATAACAGTCCCATTCAAATATTTACTATTCAAACTCGGACACCATTTTCTGTGGGTTGGCAGGCTGTTGCTACAGGTTAGCTTCACAAAGTGTTTTTGGATAATTTTCTAATACTATGCTTTTTAATTTAATAAATTTTGATAAATGTAGTATAATGAATTTTTTAATAATTGTCTAATTTTATGTAATTAGTTGTTTTTGACAAATGCCAATTTAGGTGCCTTATGTGTCCTGTTCTTTTTAGTTCCAGAAATTCTCAATGGTAAGACATACAATGCAACAGTGGTTGGCTTGAGTCCTTGGGTGGAATACGAATTTCGTGTGGTTGCTGGGAACAGCATTGGGATCGGAGAACCAAGTAAACCATCAGAATTGTTAAGAACTAAAGCATCAGGTAAAGCATCAATGTCTTCTAAAAATGTGGAAGATTCTTTCTGTTATAGTTCTTAAAGAAAACAATTAAGAAATATTTTTATGGGTCTTGCAGTGTATTTGGCTCAAAATCAGAGGCAGTAAACCAATGACTCTCATTTTCCCATTTTTGTGTGCACAATGCAAGGTGTATTTCCCCCAAATAGTAGGTTCAATAAGATATGGTTGCCTATAAGCAGGCATGTCAAAATGTGAGTTTTTCGGAAGCTATGTTTATATCCCTTCTATTTTCGAGCCAAAATCCAATCAAGAATCTGTAGATTTGTAGATGCAAATGAGTTACCACTTGTTTCATTAAAATGTTGTGGCCGAGACTTAATTGAGACTCTGTTGGTGCAGTCAGCCATACATGTTCATCTATTTCTCAACTCTGACCTAGTTGCAGCTTCATTGAGCAATAGTATAAATTCTTTTCCATGCAAATGAGGTAAATCCTAAATTCATTTAACAGAAGCACTAATTGAGCATTAATTGGTTCACTGAACGGCAGAACACGAGTGGAACCTGGCTCAGAAATCATGCCTTCTTAAGCTCTTTTCAATAGGTTCCTCTATGTTCCACTCAAGTTTTCACATCCAGGGTGACATTTGATCTGCCCACTGTATGTAGTTCACAAAGGCCACATTTTCATTCAGTCACATAAATGAAGGATCACTTTGTTGTGGCTGACTTAGTTTAACAAACATGAACCACTTCAATAAAGTGTGCACAACTGTCAGATG